GGCCAGCCTCCCAAGACAGACAAGGCCACGGTTGTGCTGAACATCCGCGACGAGAACGACAACGTGCCCACCATTGACATCCGTAAAATTGGGCGCATCCCGCTCCGGGATGGGGTGGCTAGCGTGGCTGAGGGCGGGTTGGGGGGTAACCCCCCCATCGGACCGGGATCAAGGTGAGAATGGTGTGGTGACTTGCACCGTGGTGGGTGATGTGCCATTCCAGCTCAAGCCAGCCAGCGAGGGCGAAGGGGAGCCACAGAACAAGCGCAAGTATTTTCTCCACACCTCAGCCCCTCTGGACTACGAAGCTGTCCGCGACTACAACGTGGTGATCGTGGCTGTGGACTCGGGCAGCCCCAGCTTGTCCAGCAACAACTCCTTGCTGGTGCGGGTCGGGGACACTAACGACAACCCTCCCGTGTTCAGCCAGGCCGTGCTGGAGGTGTCCTTCCCAGAGAACAACTTGCCCGGCGAGAGGGTGGCCACGGTGGTCGCCACAGATGCGGACAGCGGCAAGAACGCTGAGATCACCTACTCCCTGGAGGCCTCACCCCTCTCCTCAGAAGCACCAGGTGGCATCTTCAGCATCGACCCTGACTCTGGTGACGTGTCGGTGCAGGTGGTGCTGGACCGTGAGCAACGTGACACTTACGAGTTCCAGGTGACAGCCCGGGACAAAGGGGTGCCATCGCTGCAGGGCTCCACCACGGTGGTGGTGCGGGTGGCGGATCGCAATGACAATGAGCCGCGCTTCATGCAGGATGTGTTCACTTTCTACGTGAAGGAGAACCTGCAGCCCAACAGCCCTGTGGGCATGGTAACCGTGATGGACTTCGACAAGGGCCGCAACGCTGAGCTCAGCCTCTCCATCCAGCCTGGTGACCACGACCAGGCAGCCAGTATCTTCTCCATTGAGAATGACACCGGAACCATTTTCTCCACCGTCTCTTTTGACCGGGAGCAGCAGACCAGCTACACTTTTAAGGTGAAGGCAGTAGATGGAGGTGAGCCACCACGCTCTGCCACTGCCACCGTGTCCCTCTTCGTGATGGACGAGAACGACAACGCGCCCACGGTCACCTTCCCCAGCAACAGCTCCTACACTGTGCTGCCACCCTCCAGCAACATGCGCACCGTGGTGGCCACCGTGGTCGCTACTGACGCTGACACCGGTCTCAACGCTGACCTCAACTACAGCATTGTCGGGGGTAACCCCTTCAAACTCTTCGAGATTGATCCATCCAGCGGTGTGGTGTCACTGGTGGGCAAGCTGGCCCCCAAGCACTATGGCCTGCACCGCCTTGTGGTGCAGGTGAACGACAGTGGGCAGCCACCACAGTCCACCACTGCCCTGCTCCACGTCTTTGTCAACGAGAGCCTGTCCAACGCCACCGTGGTGGAGAGCCAAGTGGCCCGCAGCCTCCACACACCTCTGGCCCAGGACATCGCCGGTGACCCCAGCTATGAGCTGAGCAAGCAGCGGCTTAGCATAGTCATCGGCGTGGTGGCTGGCATCATGACTGTCATCCTCCTCATCCTGGTGGTGGTCATGGCCCGCTACTGCCGCTCCAAAGGCAAACACGGCTATGAGGCTGGCAAGAAGGACCACGAGGATTTCTTCACCCCGCAGCAGCACGACAAGGCCAAGAAGCCCAAGAAGGACAAGAAAGGCAAGAAGGGCAAGCAGCCCCTCTACAGCAGCATCGTCACCGTTGAGGCTTCCAAGCCCAATGGGCAGCGCTACGACAGCATCAACGAGAAGCTCTCGGACAGCCC